TTAATTTAATTTTTTCTATTAATAGGTAAAACTTTTGCCAATTTATTGGTTGCAGTTTAATATTTTAATATATGTATATATACATATCCAGTTCAAATCATGGCAACTAGCATTTCCATCTCCTTATCATTTCTTTATGTTTGGAGACTTTGAGCTCCTCTGTTCTAGTCCTTCATAAAATATATAATAGGTGTTGTAAACTATAATCACCTTATTGTACTGTAGAAAATAGAACTTATTCCACCAATGTCACTGTATTCTGGTGCCTATTATCCAAACTCCCCCTATTCTGGCAACCTCTTTACCTTTCCTAGCCTTTAATAACCACTATTCTACTTGGAGATCAACTTTTTAAACTTTCAACAGATGAGAGAAAACAGGTGGTATCTGCCTACCTGTGCCTGGCTTATTTCACTTAACATAATCTCTACCAGTTACATCCATGTTGTCACAAATGACAGGATTTCTTCTTGTTTTGTGACTCAAAAATATTCCAACATGTACCACATTTACTTTATCCATTCATCTTTTGAATTTTGGTTGATACGTATTTTGGCTAATGTGAATAGTGTTGCAATGAACCATGAGAATGAAAGTATTTCTTTGATATGCTGATTTCATTTCCTTTAAATATACACCTCAAAGTGGCACAGATAGATCATACAATAGACTTCTTTTCAGTTTTTTAAAAAAATTTTATTGAAAAAAATTATTTTTATTGGGCTGAGGCTATATATAGCTCAGTGACAGAGCACTTGCCTAGCATGTGTGAGGCACTGGGTTCAATCCTTAACACCATATATAAATAAATCAAAGAGGCTGGCTGGGGTTGTGGCTCAGCGGTAGAGCACTTGCCTAGTACGTGCAAGGCTCTGGGTTTGATCCTCAGCACCACATAAAAATAAATAACTAAAATGAATGACAATGACAACTAAAAAATAAATATTTAAAAAAAATCAAAAAGGCATTCTATCCATCTGCAACTACAAAAAAAAACATTTTTAGAAATTCATTTTTATTTTTTTTTAGTTGTTGATGGACCTTTATTTTATTTATTTTATTTTATATGCAGTGCTGAGAATTGAACCCAGTGTCTCACACATGGCAGGCAAGTGCTCTACCACTGAGCCACAACCCAAGCCACATCTTTTTAGCTTTTTGAGTAAACTCAGTATTTACTGTTCTTTACAAAGGCTATACAAATTTATGTTCCCATCTGGAAGAATAGGAAAGTCTCTTTGCCTCCTTGACAGATTTATTATTATTATTATTTTTTTAAACAAGAGGCATTCAGAATGCATTGAGAAGAGATCTCATTGTAATTTTCATTTGCATTTGCCTGGTGGTCTGTGATGTTTGGCATTTTAAAATATGATTTCTGGCTATTTTAATTTCTTATTTTGAGAATGTCTACTAGATTCATTTGCCCATTTTTAAACTGGATTTTTTGTGTTACTGTTGAGATTTTTGAGTTCCTTACATATTCTGGATATTAATCCCTTGTTAAGTGAATAGTTTGCAATTTCCCCCCATCCTGTATGCTGTCTGTTCACTCTGTTTGTTACATTTGCTGTGCAGAAACTTCTTATTTTGACATAATCTCTTGGTGGATGGTGCTGGTGGCAAGACTAAGACCAACTTTCTGAGTCTCTAACTGGGACCACGATCAGCCAGTCTCACCATGGCATGGGCCTACTCTCTCAAATGGTCTCTCTCTGTCTTAGGACTCACCAGAGTGTTATAATACCCTGTATGGATCCCAAAGCTCCTGCAAAGGCTTTTTTTTCTGTAGTTGGCTGCCAAACTATTGTTGCTGGGGACACAAAAAGGGGGACATCATATTCCATCATCTTCATAATGTACTTTAATTAGATTTACATTTCGATTGCACTTGAATTTGTCCTAAATTAGCTTGAGATATTATACACATTGTCATTTAGTTTTAAGAGTGAAGGAGAAGTTCCATGACTAAGTAGAAACAAAATATTTTATTAACATTCAGAACAATCTACTTATTTGAATTTTGATTTCTGACTGTGATCCAGTTCAACACAAAATGAAGCCCCAGGCCATGCTAGGCAGAATCTAAGATGCCCTATGATAACAACCTCTTCTTGTAAGTGCACAAGGAGGTTTAGTTCACTGCCACCTTATGGAGTCAATGATCCAAGAGGCAGAGTGACAGAGAAAGAAAAGGTTTTACTAGGAACAAGCTGGCTTTTTGCCTTCAATGACCATTTTACCCTTTTCCTTAAGAATCTTTTATATGAGTTTTCAAGGGAAGATGTGCAGGACCCAGATAGAGAGGTGCCTCAGTTTTTCAGTGTTTTGAAAAATAGCCTCTTCTGGAATGTGGGCTGTATACATCTTACCTCTTTCATGTAGGTTCATGAGAGTTGCAGTCCAGTGGATCTAAAGGACCTAAAGGGAGCAAAGGAAAATATTGAAATGACTTGTATCTGATTTTTGTTGTGATCACTGTTCCTGGCAAGTACTCTTCCATGTATGAATTTCTCTCACAACTTGGGACTAGGGAGTATTTGGTAAGGGAGATTTGTGCATCTCTAGCTAACTTTAGTGTGTGGTTAATCTATAAAAGACTTCTGTGGTCAGTGATCTTTAAGAGCTAGAGCAGGCAAGAGCTGAAACTTGGGAGAATTGAGTCTTTATTGGGGTTGGGGATTATGTGCACTTTTAGGCTTATTCAATATTTCCTAGTTATTCAAACAGGCATCTAGGTAGTACTGAGAAGGATTTTACAGACATACTTAAGCTTGAAATTAGTTAAATTTAAGACAGAGTGAGTAACCTGGTGATCCTTCCCTAATCAGAGCAGCCCTTCACTGGACTGGCTTTGTGTAGAGCAAGGAGATTCCATGAGTGAGGGAGGCTTCCCAATGAGAAGGGAGGGTTTGAGAATGGAGTGGCCATGTGGCAAGGAATGCTGGGTACCACAGCAGATGGGGCAGGAAATGGAGCACTGATCTCTAAAAGTGCAAGTAACAGAATTCTGCCAACAGCTGCCAACAGCTATGAGCTCTGTGGCGGACCCCATCACAGCCTGATGAAATCCTGAACATGCCTGGACTTTTCACCTTGTGAACTGTGAGCAAATAAATTTTGAGCAAATGAAAATTTGCTTTTATTTGTGAGCAAGTAAAATTTGAAGCTACTCTGTGGTAATTTGTTAGACGGAAACAGGAAACCAATACCAAAGCTTCACTGTACAATTAATAAGCACAAAACACTACACTAAAATGAACTTGTGAACTGTCATGTACACTGCTTGCATGAAATAACATCTTTGCTAAGAAGGATATTCTTTGAATCTGGTATCCTGAGGCTGAAAACTTAATTGCCTTTTAAAATTTATGTTAATCAGTTTCAAGAAAATACTATTATGCATCTTAGTATAATATGTATGTTCACAGGGAACTAGTTAGCACTGTTAAAGGGCACTTTGAATGCACCCAATGCTTAGAACTTTGAAGAAAAATTTGAACACGCTCATTGAAATATGATGTTTAAATAATATATATTTTAATTTCTTTGGTTCTTGATGCTGAAGCTTTTTGATGATTATTGCTGAGAATTTGAGATACATTTGTTTTTCATTTTTTAATTAATTTATTTTTGATACCAGGGATTGAACCTAGTGATAACAACCTCTGCTTGTAACTACACAAGATGGATTGGTTCGCTGCTACCTCATGGAGTCAATGATTCAAGAGGCAGAGTGATAGAGAAAGAAAGAGCATTATTAGGAACAAGCTGGCATTGTTAGAAGATGGTTGGCTTTTGCCTTCAATAACCATCTTACTACTTTCCCTAAGAGAGAGTCTTTTATATGATTTTTGAAGGGAAGACATGTAGGACCCAGACAGACAGGTGCTTCAATTTTTCAGTGTTTTGAAAAATAACCTCTTCTGGAATGTGGGCTCCATATATCTTATCTCTTTCACATGTAATCTCTTTTATTTTGTTAACAGTTGCAGTCCAGTGGATCTAAGGAAGATATAAACGTTAGCTGAAATGACTTGAATCTGATTTTTTTGTGGTCAGTGTTTCTGGCAACTACTCTTCCAGGTGTGATTTCCACCCCCCCCCCATAATTTGAGACTAGGGATTGTTTGATGAGGGAGTTTTGTGCATCCCTAGGTAACTTTGGTGTGCAGTTAATCTATCAAAGATAGGCTTCTTGTGTTGGGGATGTGGCTCAAGCGGTAACACGCTCGCCTGGCATGCGCAGGGTGCTGGGTTCGATCCTCAGCACCACAAAGATGTTGTGACCATCGAAAACTGAAAAATGAATATTAAAAAATTCTCTTTCTTCTCTCTCTCTCTCTCTCTAAAAAAAAAGATAGGCTTCAGTGGGTAGGATATCTTTCCTAATGTTTGGTTTTCTATTTTTTATTTTATTATTTCATTGATGCTATTAAACTTTAATACAATCCGATTTGTCATTCTTTCATTGAACGCCTATTATCTTAGTGTCCTATGAACCAGGCATGGCTCTATATCCTGGGAATACAACTATGATTAAAACTGCCCTAAGCCTATGTGTGGGCCTTACATTTTAGAGGTTTGTCCAGAGTGAGATGGAGCCACTGGAGCATTTTAAATGAAGAAATGGCACAACTTGACTCACATTTGCAGGATGGCTCACAGAGGTGGGAGAGTAGTCATGGGAGGTGAGTGAGGGCGCAGGGCCTGAGGAATGAGAGGGTCTGGAAAGCAGGGCTGTAGAAACATGAGGTGAGGATGTGAAGCTGAGCAAAGAATTTTAAAGTTGTAGAATTCTTAGATTTCGGTATGTTTTATAGATGTTTAACAAATACCTAGCTAGAGCGGGTGTGGGGAGGAAGCCAAATTCTGGGGATTCCCCACGTCCTGGGAACTTACTTGCTCATCTCTCAACCTGAGTCAGGTTCTTCTGCCTGGTGACTCCTGACGTGCCCAAAGTTTCTAGAGAAGCCAATCAGAGTCGTCGCCACATATTTGATTCTTGGTAACAAAAGCCGCATACACCCGCAGGAACTCGGATTCTCCCCGTCTATGGGGTGTGAGTCATGGAGTTCAGAACCCTGTTCTTGATGCTTTTGGGGCCTCTAACCCTGACCCAAACCTGGGCGAGTGAGTACGAGGTCCCACGGGAAACAGCCTCTGTGGGTAGGATCTAGGGGACCGACCGCCCGGCGGGGTCGCAGATTCAGGGAAGCGGCATTTCTACCTTGTGAAGCCTGAACTTTCCCTCCATCTCGGACTCGTCCTGTCCTGACCTAAATTACCGGTCCTGCTGCCCCCTTTTGGTCTCACGAGTCCCCGCGTCCCCTCTTCCCATCACGGGCCGGATCAACAGGGGACCCCAGTCCGGAGGAGGTCGCACTGGGTCTTAGCTGCTCTCTGTCCTCAGGGTCCCACTCCCTGCGTTATTTCCACACCTCCGTGTTCCGAGCTGGCCACGAAGAGGCTTTTTACACCTCGGTGGGCTATGTGGACGACACGCTGTTCCTGCGCTTCGACAGCGACGCCCTGAATCCGAGGGTGGAGCCGCGCGCTCAGTGGATGGAGTATGAGACGCCAGCGTTTTGGGAAGCGCAAACCAAGATCGCCGAGGCGCACGAGCAGAAGTTGCGCTGGAACCTGCGCTCCACCCTCCGCTACCTCAACAAGAGCGAGGAAGGTGAGTGACCCGGGACCGGGTGGCAGGGGACAAATGCCCCCACCGCGGTCTCAGAGACTGTATCTCGTTTCCAGGCCCCCACACCACTTGGCCTCTCAACTCAGACCCCGCGGGTATTCTCTGGGGTTTCATTTTCCTTTTAGGCGGAAAAGGCCATAGACCCACCCCTCCTCCCACCCTGGCTCCCAGTTGCGCTGGCAGAGTTAAGCACCAGATGTAAAAGCTGGAGCAAAGTCAGTCTGACTTCGGAGGGGGGGGGGCGGGGGGCAGGCTCTCATACCTTCCAGTGGATTTCTGGCTGTGACCTTGGGCCAGATGGAAGCCTCCTTCGTGGACATGAGGAGTTTGCCTATGATGGTGCGGATTACATCTCCCTGAATGAGGACCTGCGATCTTGGACCGCCTGGGACAAGGCTGCTCAGATCACCCAGCGCAAATGGGAGGATTCAGGAGATGCAGAGCACTACAGGGCCTACCTGCAGGAGGAGTGCCTGGAGTGGCTCCGCAGATTCCTGGAGAAAGGGAAGGACAAGTTGCTGCACACAGGTACCAGGGAATGAGGGTAGCCCGACATAGTTTGGACAAAAATGGAATTGCTAACAGAATACCAGAGGGCCTTCCCTCCTCTCAAGACAATTAAGGCATCAAGTCTTTCTTGGAATGGGGGAGGGAGAAGATCTCTGAACAAACTTAAGAGCACATTGCTTGGACCCTGACAGCAGCCTTGGGTACCACAAGGTGACTTTCTCAGGCCTTGTTCTCAGCTCCACATTCAAATTGTTTGAGGTTGGACTCCAGGTTTTGTGAATCTCTGGGCCTCCATTCAGGTCAGAACCTGAAGTCCCTCTTAGAGACCTGGGGCATCTTTCCCTGGTCAGTCTGATTCTACAACTTTCCAAGGAAAAGGAGATTATCTCAAAAGCTTGAGTCCAGGCTGGTGCTTGGGTTTTGCTTTCCTTCCTCACTTCCATTGTCCTGTCTGACTTAGTATGGTCACATGAGCACTGGTTCAGTGGCCATGGGAGGTAATGTAAAATGTCCAATTAAAAAATATTTTTAGTTGTAGATGGACACAATACCTTTATTTTATTTATTTATTTTTATGTGGTGCTGAGGATCGAACCCAGTGCATCCCATGTGTTAGGCAAGCACTCTACCAGTGAGCTACAGCCCCATTCCCAAAATGTTTTATTTTTCTAATTCTTCCCTTCAGAGTCCCCAAAGACACATGTGACCTATCACTTCAGCCCTGAAGGAGATGTCACCCTGAGGTGCTGGGCCTTGGGCTTCTACCCTAAGGAGATCACCCTGACCTGGCAGAAGGATGGGGAGGACCAGATTCAGAACATGGAGCTTGTGGAGACCAGGCCTGCAGGGGATGGAACCTTCCAGAAGTGGGCAGCTGTGGTGGTGCCTGCTGAGGAGGAGCAGAGATACACATGTCATGTGCATCATGAGGGGCTGCCTGAGCCCCGCACTGTGAGATGGGGTAAGGAGGGGCTGAGGGCACAGAGCCTGTTGGCAGGAAAAGCAGGAGCCATTCTGAAAACCCTCAGTAGGATAAGGGCTGAGAGCGAGGGGTCAGGGTCCCTCACTTACCTTCCTTCCCTTCCCAGAGTCACCTGCTCTGTCCATCATCCCTGTCATGGGAATTGTTGCTGGCCTGGTTCTCTTTGTAGTTGTGGTCACTGGAGCTGCGGTGGCTGTTATGAAGTCATGGCAGAATGCAGGTAGGGAAGTCAAGGGTTCCGGGTGTACCTGGTCTAGGCCCCTGGAAGAAGAGCGCTCTGCCTCATTAATGGGAAGCACCATCCATACACACTTGCTGACACTCACTCTATTGTAAAGCACAAGGAAAATAAAGGACAAAATGATCACCATTATGATTGTCATGGTGGGGACCTGATCCCAGCATTTAGAGGGCAAAGGGGTAGGTCCCTGCTGGATACAGACCTCCAGGAGAGTGGTTAGTTAAGTGCCTGGGCATCTCCTATCCTCATGCCTCTTGATCCTTTCTAAGGTTTCCAGTTACAGTTCAGGAACCTTCCCTGGGATCCAGGCCTAGGGGATTTCTCACGTCCTCATAACTCTGCCTCCTCCCTGCCACACACAGGTTGTTTTCTTCTCATAGGAAGAAAAGAAGAGAGCTATTCCATAACTGTTCAGAGAGTGTTGTCCCTGAGACCCTTGGAGTAGTGTAGATGGGAAAACAAGGAGGGTCCCTCATCTGCCCTATAATTTATTCATTCTTCACATATCTTTTGGATTTTGACTCTGTCTTGTTGTTTTTCTGACCCAGGCAACGTCAGTGCCCGGCCCTCCAATACTTCTCTAGCCCCATAAAGGTGAGACTCTGGAGGGCTTAAAATGGTAGAAGGTGTGATAGAGGGGAATGGAGAATGTTGTGGGAATTCTCTTGGATCTTTGGGTGAGTTCTGGGTTCTTCAGAATGTTGTCCCTTTGAGCAACTGCCCTGATTTTGTTCATGATGCTTTTATTCTGTAGCAGAGACAGCTGCCTTGTGTGGGACTGAGCAACACAAGATTTGTTCAAGCCTTTGTGACTAGAAGAACCCTGGAGTCCCTTTCTGTCATGGATTCTTAAGCCATCCACATTCCTATTGGCATAATGTGCAGAAGTGAGACCAGTGCACAGGACCCCTGTCCTGCACTGTCCCTTGCCCACTCACCTTTCCTGTTCTAGCAGAGGTGACGCTGGGATGACTCCATCCCTCTCTTAACGTCACTGTGCTCTGAGTCACAACTTCTTACTTCCATCCTGAATATAAGAATCAGAATATAAATATTTTTCAAAATCTTGACCCAGTAGATTGATTGGTTAATAAACAGAGAAAATTCCAAATTAGAGAGAGGAAATAAATGGAAACACTGAGAACCTTCTAGAATGTGTTTTCATTGTCCTGAGTCAGTGACAGCTAAAGACAGAAGAAGGCTGTGAGGAGCCCAATGTGGACAGGGCTGTGTCCAGTTAGTGCTTAGGCCATGCTGGCTTTCATGTGGTCCCTCTTTAGCTTGGTCATCTTCTGTATTCCCTTGTCCTTGTCACTGGGGAGAACCTTGCCCACCAGGACTTGTGATCACTGGGACACAGACATCACCAGAGCCTTTTGCTGTCAGCCAGACCCTAGGCATCAATGGCTTCCTGTGGCCAGATCAGGCTGTCCCCTTCATCCTTTGTATTTCCTGTCCCTTAGTTTCTATGGAGGATTATGTATATGCTTGTTCTCCCTCCTCCTGAGGTAGCTGGCTTGATGAGGGGTGCCATAGCCTTTTGAAGACTCCATGACAGTGGCAGCTACATGGAGACACCTTGCAGCTGGGTCAAGGTTCCTCAGGAGGCTGCACGTGCTCTGAACTAGTGTCTGACATGTGGCACTGTTTCCCCCACAGCCAGGATTCATGGGTCCAGGAATCAAGAAATGGGAATGGGAGTGGCAACTCTCACTATGGCCCCCAGTGACCCACTAGCAATGTATGTGCTTCCTGTCCCCATGACCTTATGCCCTGCTGGCCTGGAGATCTTAGTTTCACAGAAGAAATGCTTCCATAAAGAGACAACAATGAGTTCACTGAATTGGAAAGGACAACTGTCACTGGCCATGTTGGGCTCTTCTTGCTTTGAGTCAAGAACCCAAGGGTGGGTTAGCTGGTGGGCCTGAGTGATGGATCCTGGCAGCCAGGGGGACATGGGACAGCTGCTCCCCAGGGAGGGAAGGCAGGGAATGTCTGGAATACAGGAGTTCCTTAGGGTGCCTCTTAGTGTTACATCCCCTGTGCTTAATGTCCATGGGAAACTACATCAGCCCAACCCAGGCAGAACTGAGTGGCCAGGACCCTTCAGGAATGAAGGTTGGCATCACCACAGCAGGAGAAATGCCACAGGCAGCTGAACTACTTGCTGAATTGAAGGGAATATGGAATGGGAGGTGGAAGAAGATAGTTGTGAGTACCAGCAGCAACACATGACCATTTTCAGAGGAGAGGACTGTAATTTTCGTTTGCATATCTTCTTTATTTTATTATGAATATGTTTGTGGTATGTATTTATTGATCAAATATACTTATTTTCTTGAATCTCACCCTTTTATATGTAACAAATAATTTTGACTGTTTATCATAGTATTAAGCATTGTTAAGTGTATGTCTTAGTGTTTTGCATTTTGGGATGTCTATCAAGGGGAGGAGGAGAGGACATCATGGGTGTAGTTCAGTTGTATGCAGGCGAGTCTTATGTTAGGTGGAAGTATAACTTGTTATTCTCTTTATTTAGATGTACATTGTGATTTAGGGAGATGCTTCTGTGTGCCAAATTGATGAAGGGGGAACTGGTGATAGTTAATTTTATTTGTCAAATTGGTTAGGGCCACGATACTCAGTTATTTTTCAGACATGTCTGGATGTTGTAAAGGCATTTTTGAGACGAAAACCACATTTAAGTCAGTAGTCTTTGAGCAAAGCAGGACACCCTTCAAAATGTGGTTGGGCTTCACTTAATCAATAGAAGACTTTAAGAAAAAGATTGTCCTCCCCCAAAGAAGAAGTATTTTCTCATCATTGTTTTTGGACTGAAGTGTAACATCAGCTCTTCCTGAGCTTCCATCCTGCTAGTCTACCTTGAATATTTTCAAGTCATTGCCTCCAAAATTGCATATGACAATTTCTTAAAGGATCTTCTTCAACAGATAGACAGAAATACATGTAGACACACAACTTGTTAGTTGTGATTCTCTGTAGAACCCTGACTATTACAAGCACAGTTTTCTATGTTCTAACTACTAGAAATGAGTGATAAAGAAAAGTAAAGGCAATTTCACAGTTATGGTTTGGATCTGAAATGTCCCCTGAGAAACTCATGTACTGGAAACATGGTATTCAAAATAGGAATGTTCAGAGGTGAAATGATTAAATTATGAGATGATTAAATTATTAAATTATTACATAATCTCAACAGTGGATAAATCCATTGGGTGAATTAATAATTTGAATGAATCACTGGGTAGTGCTTGACTAGAGAAAGTAGGCCAGTGGTGGTGTGCCCTTGGGGATTACATTTTGGCCCTGGCTCCTCACTCTCTGCTTTCTGGCTGCCACAAGGGGAGAAGTTTTCCTCTGTCATGTCCTTCCTCATGATGTTTCTGCCCTGGAGCCATGCATTCAACCACTGAAACTTCAGTTTTGGTGTTGCTTTGGGAGATTTCATTGAAAAAAAGTTAGCTACCTTCCAGCTGTTAGACCCTTTGTAAATTATGGACAGATGACATCCAAGCAGAATCTGTTTTTGCCTGAGCAATAATGTTGTGGTTTCAATGAGATATAGATTTCTAGTCCACCCAGAAACCAGGAAAACTGGAATTAAATGTAGCAATATCTTCTCAGCAAGCAATCTGAAGAAATTTTATTTGCCTATGTACTGGGAATGATTTTATTAGTTCTTTCTTTTTTAAAAAACATTTATTCTTTAGTTGTAGGTGGACACAATACCCTTATTTAATTTTTATGTGGTGCTGAGGATCAAACTCAGAGCCTCACTCATGCTAGGTGAACGATTTTCCTCTGAGCCCCAATCCCAGGCTTATTTAGTACTGTCTTGTATGGCCTTGTGGCCTGATACAAATAAGCCGTCTTTCCAGGAAAGGATGATGTGCCCAAGGCTTGGAATATTTTATTGTTTTCTTTATTATTATTATTTTAACATTTGCAATATACGTACTTGTTTATAAAATATCTCCAATGGCTTTATGTATATGTGTATATATTATTTTTTACTGGCAAAATAAAAACTTTAACAAACATTAAAATAAATCCGTTGCAGTGTACCATATGATAGATTATGTTATTTTTGTGTACCATATGATAGATGAGAGTTGAAACAAAACCTTCCAACAATCTTCTCTCTATTGCAGGACTATTCAATCCATTTTCCGCAATATTACATCAAAACTAGATTTACCCAATTTTTCACTAATCTTCATGCCAGGGGTTCTTTTTTTCCCCCAACAATATCAATAATTAATTTAAATATAAACGATACAGATGTTGTAATTAAAAGTAATAATTGTTCAACCTGTGTAAAAGGAAACAATAACTATATGCTCTATACATATGTCATCCTTTAAATATTAATACACCAATAGGTTAAAAGCAAAAGAAGCGAAAAATAAGCACAAGAAATATGAGGTAGAGCTA